CGAGTTCAAAAGTAAAACCTAAGAGAAAAACCTTAAAAAGCCTAAAACTCATAAGGAATTATTACAAAAAAGTTATCACTAGGAAGCAATTTATTACAAAAAGATGGACAGCTCCAGACATTTGCCAAATTTTCTACTGAAATTCTTCCGTTCTCCGTATAACAGTGGCTTCAACTCATTGTTCAACAGATTGAACTTTGGTTGAATTTTTTAACAGCAGAATGTCTGGTTCATTTTTCCTCTTGACTAATGGATTCATTAATCTATTAACAAGCAGACTGATATGAATCCAGTCGCTTAAAACATGATAGGACAGCAGAGGAATAAGACATCCTGTCTCAGTTCCCAGCAGTGAACTAGCTCTCAGTAACTGTATCATCATGAATCAACTGGAAATCTGTTGTTTCCGACTAACACTGAGTCTTAAGCCTGATGATAAACTATCTGCTGTGTGTGGTCATTGGACCGTTACAACACATGCACTTCCATGTTGCCATAAATCATCTGATGTAGCTTCCTCTTTGCCAGTCTATGTGAATGAGTTACTGGAAGCTGTGAACATGTGACCCTGTGTGTAACAGCGTTAATTCACACACATGGCTATAAAAGGTTATGTTGTACAATCTAGCATGAAGAGCATTCATCTGTAAAGGGTGAAGCTATTAGCTTCTTTTTTAACAGATTTTCCCACCTGAGCTGTGAATCTCTGCAGCTCCTGCAGAGTTACCAATATTCTCCGATGGATGATCATGATACTCTGATTGTCAGTTAAGGTTGACAGCCATGTTTCAGTGTTTTTACAGCTTTTTCTGCACTCTATAAATTATCAGATGATGAACAGAAACCTGCTTTTATATATAGTTTTGTATTATATCAAAATATAAAGATTTACCTGAAAAATGTGGAAGAAAGTGTAATTATACAAGGATGAGACTGTAAATTGCAATGCATAAAAGTAGCTGTGAAATAATAAGCAATACTTGTAAAAAAGGTAGTCGGAAAAAGCTTGAGATGTTAAAAGATCCCCTTTTCTGAATCATTTCCAGGTTGAGAGAGTACCGTGATTTTGTATGTCTTCATTACCGTCTCTCACTGCCTAATTCATCCTCGGTCACACATTGATTAAACCCGATACAGGAGCAGCTGTGCAGCAGCGGTATCAAGAAGTGACACTTTGAGCTCTGTAGACACCCTTGAGCGATCGCATACGGCGATAACGACGGTTCCCGGCCACCTGATACACCCTGTGGGACACAGAGAGCCGACACCTGAGTTCTGGCCATCTTCTGGGCCCTTCACACCTGCGGCTGTGGACATCTTATAAAGTCACCAGCCTGGTTCTGCATCCTACTCTATGTTGTGGTGAAAACATTTCAGGGGGAACATGCCTGGCTTTCACAAATTGTAAACTGAAACCAGGCATAAAAAAAAAAAACAACTACAACTGGACAGGATCCTCAACCCCCCCAACACCTTAGTAGTTGGAATCAGAGTGTGCTTTGTTCACTTCATTACCTGCAAAGGGCAAAAACAGCAAAAGCACATAAAGTGTCTCTGGTGTCCTCCCATCTGTTCATGACCCTAACTTGCTCCACCCTCGTCCACCTCCCTACAAAAATGTTTTTTTTATTTTTATTTTTTTTTACCTTGCTATTCCCTCCACGTTTATCCTTGTTGTTTTGTGACTTTACTGCATGCTGTACCCCCAGAGCTTCGACCATATGGTATTTTGCACACAATGTCAATTTCCTTTGGAATGCACTGGAGACGTATGACATGTATTTGACCTTTTCTGCTTTATACAAGGCTCATATTGACTTTTAGGCACACAATTGGTTTTCCAAGTGAAAAGTCTTTTCTGCAGACCTAAGGGGGATGACATAACCTCCACTAAACCTATTGAGGGTGTGCTTGTGGCTTATAGCCTGCTTATAATAAATGTGAACCCCATGAGGCCATTGTTTCCGCTTGTGTGCGGGGGCGGTGGGATATTCACATAGATAAAAAGCTTGCGGTGTTCCACTGAGCAGATAGTTGATGTCTCTGCCCTGTCATTAGGAGCAAACAGCCTGAGGACCAGCCTCCTGCCGTTTGAAGATCCCACACCACTTACAGGAAAACACGCATAGGACTAAGCTTCCAGCTTCCACCTTCTTACCGTAATCTGCAGGTTATTTGATCAAAACACTCAACATTTATTACAGTGTTTTTGTTTCCAAAGTAAAAAGCTCTAAATGGATGTATTTTCAACTAATATGCACAGGTTATGGCCACATGCATACGGTCCACAAGCAAGTAAATGATTTACAATAGAGCTGGGGAAACACAGCTTATGTTGCCAATGACTGCCATGTCTGCAGTACTATTATCAGCAACTGTGGTTTATGTAACTATATAACATTATCTTTTTATAGTTTAGCATTTATTAATTTGAGATATTGATAATCACTGCTAATATGGATAAACTTGAATGTGAAACTGCAGAACGGACACCAAAAACTGAATTAGTTGGGACATAAACTAGCAATCATTACTGGCTTTTAGGTCCAGGTGTAAAATATTTCACTGAGAAACTGAATTTTTGTCACCTTTGCAGAGAGAATGGATTGTTTCTGATTGGATTACAGCAACTATGCCTTTTGGTCTAAAACTTATCTACTAAAGTGCTGATTAAAAACAGATACCAGGTTCAAGGCTGGATTACCTCTTGCTCTAACGGTATGTTGTAAAAATCTATTTATTTTTATTAAACTTGAAACTGTCTGACTTTTTTTCCCCTTTGAAAACCTGGACATTTCTCACAATATTAAAAGTAGGTCTGCAGTGATCATTGCTACAGTGTCTGGTGGCCTGCCTTTGACCTCACTAGGAGATTGAAACTAAAGAAACAAAATGTATCTATGTAAAATTAAAATGCCATAGTATTTTCACCAACATCATTTTATCTTAGAAAGTCGTCTCAATATGTTACCATACAAGCTCTGGACCATAAATCTAGATTATTTATTATGTCATACTGCAGGGGTCTTCAACGTTTTCCAGGCTAAGGACCCCATAACTGATGGTGAAATGGAGCAGGGACCCCCTAAGTATATATATTGTATAAAATTGTGTTCCTGCTTGATGGGACAGGTGTTGTGAATGAAATGGTGCCCAGATTGAAAGAGCTCCTGTGTGTTGCTGAGTGTGTGCATTGATGACTGAAAGACATCTTCTGCCTCAATTTATCTGTTGACTACAGTGTGTTGAATTCATTTTAATGTGGATTTAAAGACATTTCAATTAGAGGAAAAAATTGCAGGGGGGAATATATAAAAAAGTCTAATCAACCAAAACTTTTGCGACCCCCATGCAGTACCTATGTGGACCCCTTAGGGGTCGCGGACCCCCTGTTGAAAACCTGAAAACATACTTCATTTATGTTTGACGCTCTTATTTTAAAGTAAGATAGGAATCAGTTGCTGAGTAATTCTGCTGTAAATATAGTTTCTACTTATAAAGACTTGAGTTTGGGCTGAATGGCAACTCTCAGTTATGAAAACAATTAAAAACATCCCCTCCACTTGCAATGCAGCAGAGGGGCAGATAAGAACACCACGGTAGGCTAATAATGCCGTGGATGAAACCCTTTGCATGACCAGTAAGTAAGAAATGTGGTATATATCTGGTTTGGGAACTTGATCGTCAGATTTTAATTTTTTGTAGCTGATGTGACTCTTTCACTGACTTTAAACATCCTGTCCAGGAGCAGTTCCCAGCTGATTTATGCAGCAGCTGGGATGAGACTACAGTTCTCTACAGTCCAACTCATCAGTCCAACTTGGTATCGTGCTCATTGATGGAGAGATGGAGCAGGAGATGAATTTAGAGAGAGAATAATGGTGAATTTTGGTGCCTGTTTTGTGTGAAAAAAGCTGAACTGAGAGTCAAGGCATAGATTAACAATTTACCTTTTTATCCTGATGCGCTCAAGTTCTATAGATCATGACCAAAAGAACAGATTCCTAGAAACAAATGTTCAAAGAGCTTCTTCCATAACGTCTGACCTTATGCATAAGGTCAGGGCTTCATTGGCTAAGGAGAGCAGAGTAAGTCAGTAGGTATTGGAGGTTATGGGCTTCAAAGGCTGAAAGAGACTAGTCACTGTATGTTTTCTAAGGGGAGAACATGTCTAGTATTTAAACTGGAAGTTAGCACTACAAACTGTGGACAGCAAAAACATCTAAACCAGGGTATCCCCACATCAGCTGCAGCTCACAGGTACATTTTGTTCCAAAAAGTAGGATCTCGGTGTGCTGGACAACTGTTAATTGTAACCTTGGCTAATAGTGATCTAGTGGTTAGGGGCATAGAGCTTGGAATCCTGAGGTTCTGAGTTTGAACCCCACTCCCACAGACTGCCACTCTGGATCCACAAAGTTGAATTATTATTAGCCTATTATGCCAACTTGTTTCTGTCTGGTGGCCTTTTTGTCTTTTATACATTGTGCTAGGCTGCTGGTGACTCTCAAAGGAATGTGTGGGGAGATTATACTCCTTTGTTTAAAAATAGATCCAAAACCCATCATGAATGTAACGTTGAAGGAATCATTGCACAGTTGGATAATCCAACTTCCTCACACGTTTGTTGTGACAACTATCTCCAAAACAGTTTTTAGAATTTGATGATATAATTAGATTGTTTTTAAATATTTGAGATTTTAACAATTTTTTTTTTGCCTTAAATCACCTAAAAACAAAAGTAACAGGAGCCATTAAAACTAGTCTGTTTTTTTCTTCTGAGGTGGTTAAAGGTGAGTTCAGCTTGAACTCAGCCTCTGAATGACTGCACCTTGGCAGCAGTGTTCAGTTTCAGCTGCTAACCAGACGTTTTAAATATTAGCAATAGGTCGCGCGTGCACGCTTAGTTGCTCCTCCCAGACGCGCACGTGAGCGCGCGCGTCCGACCGCCTTCGAAAAACAGCCTTACCGACAGTTTCCAGGCTTCAGCCAGCAGTTACCGGGGAGAGGGGAAGAACAAGAGCGCACCAAAAAAAAAAAAAAAAAAGCTAGCGTGCGACAGTTGAGTAACGTATGGATTACTTTGACTTCTTCCCCGCCATTTTTATGAGACTTTCGGCTGACTAACAACGGCGGAAACCTGGTAAGTTACTCTCTCATCAGAGAGGTGGAAAAACTACTTCATAACGAATCTTAAACCGCCGACATAGTTGGCTAACCTGTTTTTTAAAGTTTAGGCTTTAAAGGACTAAACTTCTAAAACACGTTTGTATCCGGAAAAGCAAGGTTAAGATAGTTTATCACTGTTTCTCTACTTCAAAGACAAAAAAAAAAATGTATACAGTTGTGAAAATGTGGTGAGTTAAACGTTCTTTCTGTTGACCACGTTTTATTTATGCCACAAAATACTTTTATTTATATATTTATTATATATCATTTTAAATGTATTTATTTGTTTTTACAACGGAGTAATACCATTAAACACTAAAAGCGATAAGGAAATGCTTTAAATAGCCTAACCTGAGCAATCAGGATTCCTTTAAACAGAATCTAGTTTTTTTTCATATTACATAATTTAAAAAGAAATAAGAAAAAGCTCAACTTTTTCCATTTAAGGTTGAAAATGAGGCTAAGAAGCGTCAGAAGTCTTCCTTGGCAATGCCAGACATTGATGAACACTGTGTACATAGCAACGAGCAAACAGCTTGTAGAAAAAAAAAAGGTCATTTGGTGGTTTTTATATAAGAAGCATTAGATAGACTGTTTGTAGTTCTGATGAATTTCCGTTTAGTGCGTTCTTGCACTTCTGCGGCTTTCATCTAAATGGAGCTGCTGCTGAGCATCATTTGTTGCTTCTAGGTTAAAGGTGCAGTAGGAGATCTTTTCTGACACGTTTTTTACCATGTGGCTTAAAGATGTCCTCACAGCTGCTTGGCAAGCAGTGAAATAGAAGGTCTGGAAATGAAACTAAAATAAATGGTCCCGCTACAGTGAGAAATCAATGAACCAATCACAAAAGATGGTCTGTTGTACATGATTGGTTCCTGACACGTCAATCATGGTCGTCTCCTTGTCCCTCCCCCTGTCCGAGTACCCTGAAACATGAACAAATCGACCCCCAATTCTCGTGCAGTACGCCATGACTGGAAGCTAGCCCCTGTTACGCTACGTTCACACCTAAAACTTGCCTAGTAAACTAGCCACCAACCGCCATTGGCCAAAATAATTTTTGCCTGCGAGTTTGGTCTAACCTCGATCAATGCCCCAGACCCTAGAACTGGCGGGCCAATCACAACGCAGAGATGTGTTTTGAATTTCTGGGTGCAAAGCGGGTGGGGTTTTGATGCTGGAGAAAGCACAACAAGGAAGATGGCAACAACTATTGAACAGTAGCATGCACTGCGGCAGCAGCAGCTTTCAATGGACCACTCCATTAAAAGTTCAAAGCTCTCTTTTTTGTCAGTTAAAGTACGTTTTAGGATCATTTGAGGCAAGAATATTATACTTTAAAGCGTCACTATATGGTCCATTTACTGATTTAATGCGTAATTAAATAGGCAGTTTTTCTAAGATCTCCTACTGCACCTTTAATCTGAAAGTTATATGGTATGAGTTAATGTTTGGGAGGGTGTTTTAGGAGGGTGGGTATCTTTTAAGCTTTCCTACTCCCTCATTTGATATTTTAATAAGCTTTGAGGTTAATATTCTTCGGTAAGCACTGTTTTGATCATGTTTTTTTTATTAGTTTGATACTTAAGTCTAAGGTAAAACTGCATTGAAATGGGAGGAAGAAATGGATAAAGGCGCGGATTGTACCAAGAAGTGCTCTGATATCTGTGCCTTCCAGATGAATTTACTTCTGAGGATCCTCCAATGGCTGGCAAACAAACAAACACACACAAAAACAAACATGTTTGACTTGCAATGAGACAAGAACTTAGAGCATCTTTCCACCCAAGTTGCAAGCCTTGAAGTGAACTGGGAAAATATGTCCTGACGAGACCCCTGAGAGATGTTCTGTTTTAAGAAAGCTCTCCATTGAACAGTTTAAACTCAACTATTTTAGTTTCCTGTGAAGAAGTCCAGACTTGCTGCCGGTCGAAATATCAAGCAGTGTAGAGTCCTTTTTAAATTGCTATAAAAAAAACTTTAAAAGTAATAATCTGTGCTGCTTGGTTAAAAAAGAAACCTGTGAATATTATATCAGATATGATTAACTCTTATTTGTCCCTACTTCCTGTTTTCTGTCATTGCAATTTCCTCAGCACTTCATATACGACTAATTAAGCATTTTGTCAACTGAAATCTGTATTTTATGGATCCATTTCTCCTGAAATCTAACACCAACCAAGTATTACATCCACACAACCTTTGTAATACTGTCTAAATCAATACTGCTATTCAATATCATGTGCTGCTCTTGTTGCCAGCAGTAATTTATATACAGATCTGTTTGCATGCTTTAGGGAAAATGGAGATGCAAGCCTCTCAAAAGGAACGTCCCACTCTCATCGGGGCTGTTAAGGCCAGGAAGCTTGGCTAATCTATGCCTGCTATAGTGGCTAATGCCCATTTCAGCCAGCGAGAAAATATTACATCAAAGGAAGCATGTTTATTTGGATTTGGTTGCTCCAAAGAGTAAGCCTGGATCTCTGGCTTTCCATCACAGGCTTCCTGTTTAATAACAGTTGATTTGATTTAGTTTAGTAATTGGATACAACAAATCTCCAAGAAATGAAAATGCCCTTCTTGTTGGTGGTCAAATAATACAGGTCTCCATAGCAACGGGTAGCAAAGCTACTGATATGATGTATGTTTTGGATAGAAAAAACTGATTCAAATGGTCAAGATAGTCAGCACCAATTTACCTCTCTTATTTAGTCTTAAAAAGTCCTACCGGATGTAATATCTGCTGTGTATAGATGCTATCCTTTGAACAGATAAAAGAACGTGATGCTATATTGATATATTGTTTTTTTTTTTTTTTTTTGTTTTTTTTTCATATCATTATCAAGCAGATACAATGTAGTTGGAGACTCATCAGAGCAGTTTATACCAGCTAAAGAGCATATTGTGTCCTAAGAGTAACTTTTTTGTCATTTAGTTTTGTATACACTCTGTGTATACAAAACTAAATTTCGATACATACAGCTTTCAGACAGTGAATGAGCAACTGCTTAGCAGTGAAAATTAGCTTTTCTATTTATAAAGTGCAGCAGTGATCAAAATGTAAACAGTGTAGGAGAGACATGGTGCAAAATGAAAACATTTTTACATTTTGTCTAACATCCTGGTATAGTTTCATAGAGTTTAAAGATTAGCTCTAAAAGGGTTAGAGCAACATTTGAATTCTGCTTTAAAATTAAAAATACTTTTGGATTAAAGAAATAACATGACTTTTATAGTTCAGGAATCTTTCTTTTTTTTTTCACCATACACCAAAATCAGTGTTTCCCAACCTTTTTTGACTTGTTTATCCCTTTGGGCATTTTGTCTTACCATGGATACCCCTCTCAGTCAAAAGTATTGATGATTGTCCAAAAGTGGCATGTACAATTACTAATTATAAAATAAAGGTATATTTTATTTAATCTTTTTAACTTGAGCATTTAATTCTTTGGCATTTTATTTTTTCTAACACATATAAAAACTAACATAAATATATTGCCCAAGAACTAGTAAGGAATCAAAATAAATACAAAATAAAATCATAATATAAATCTGCCTTTATAAAACTGGAGCTCCTCTGAGTAACTCTTTTATAATCACATTTAAACTTGAGGAATTGGTAACAAGATTCTGAACTAAACTTATAATCAGACTGACTCAAATTATTTTACTTTGTTTTCATCATTCATGACACCTGAGCTTTTTTTGATGCACTCAGATGTGAGAAAACGGCAGATATCAGGCTGTTCACTGCATCCAGTCTGTTCCTCTGCTTGGTTATGATGTGTGTCAAAGTTGAAGGTGAACTCATATAACTTTTTGGTTGAAAAAAGCTTGTTTTATTTTTCAGGCAGGTCCTCACAAAGCAGAACAGATCCCAACCATATTTTATTTTACTATCTAAGAAACAAAATATTTTCATGTACCCCTTGCAATGGAATTGCGGACACCTAGCGGTACGAGTACACCCGGTTTGGAATCACTGCACTGAAGTATTTTTTAATTATGAATCCTTTTTTCATAATTGCAGCAGAATGATTATTTACCATTCATGTTGTGTTATTTATGGCTTTTTTAATGCATTAATATAAATTAAATTATTTCTGACTTTATGTAAAGCAAAACAGCTGTTACATAATATTGAGTGCCTCTTTAGAATAATTCTCATCTGATTTGTAGTTGTTTTCATCAAAGATGAATGAATTTGCTAAGAGAAAAAAGCCCTTTCCTTTTTCTTTTTTTTCAAATCATTTTTGTCCTGATTTTAAGGTCAGTAATTTAATCATTTAAATGGGAGTCTTACTGCCAATAAAATTAGTCTCATCAGGTCTGTGCCATATTCACATCCTAATTAACACATATCTATTCTTTCCTGTGTAAATACCACCCACTAGTTGTTAAACCGTGATGTATTTTTTGTAAAGCAGAATGCATGAAACTGGTTCATGTTTTTGCCACATGTAGTTGATAGTTTCACTTGCCTTTAATGCATTTAAAAGAAACAAAAAACAAAAGCACTTGTTTGTAAAACCCTGCTTCAACCATAACCCAAGAGCCTTGTAGGATTGGATAAAAAAGCTTAAAAATCTATCAAATCCAAGGAATCATAGTTGGGGTTTTTTTGGGGTACAAATGAAAAAAATTACTTGTGAAACACTCTTGATGCACATCAAACAATCAAAATATAACAAAGGGAGATGTTATATCAGGTATGAGTCCATATCTAAAAACGAAATTGATTAATTGATGACCTATGGAAACAAAAGAACTTCTATAATTTAAAATCCTGCATTTTCCAAAACTCAAATAATTACTAAAATCAGTGAATCGTCCAGCGATAGATCATTGGCACAAATACAAAAGGTAGGTTCATTATTAATACTGACTGGACTGTGGTTGACATTTGAGATATACAGTAACCTCAGAGCATTTTAGAAATGTGCAGAAGAAGAAACTGTACAGATGGGTCACATG